TCAGGCCCGAGGGGGGGGAGGTTCAAGCGCACAGGGCCCCTAGGCCCTGAGCGCTACACACGGCCTGCACCTAGAGCTCTCTAAGAAAGCCCGTTAACAAACATGTATTCTGAGAACGAGCTCCAAGATGGCCAGACGGGATCCTTTTTCACACTACCCTCGGCTCGCGCAGCACACCGATCGGAAGGTTTCGCTCGCCGCTGTCGGCGAGAGCCTGGGCCCAAGCAGCCGCGAGAGGCACAGGCCCAAGAAAAACACCCCTCACCCCGCAACCTCGGGTTCTCACTTAAAGACTGGGACTGGGGGGGTGGGTGCGTCAGCACTGATATATAAAGAGTGAGGAGAAGAGGGAGGAGACAATTTGGCTCAAGGCGGGAGGCCACAGTGCTTGGCACGCCGCCGCGTCTCAGGCTGCCGGGTCCACGGGCTCCATGGCCTGGCCGGCGTCAGATCCTGCGATGTACGTCAAGCCCCGCGATGCTGCAGATCGCCATGGGCTCTGAGTGGGGATGCTCTCCAGCGTCGAGCTCAGATCATGAAGGGCTCTCCGGCCCGCGTCCTTAATCTTCGCAGGTAACCGTGCGTCATGAACGATAAGAGAATGTGGCTTCGCATACCTGGCCATCGACTTGGCTTGTGTCCACCGTCCACGTCTCTGAACTTCTTGAATTGAGCGTCGCTTGTGCAAGATATCGTAGCTCGGTCCGCTGTGTCTCAACGTGTGCATCGGTCCGATCCATTCCAGTCCGAACTTTGATTGGATGCCTCTCCAGACTGAAGTTGCCTTGGCCGCTGTGGTATTGAAGACCTTGTCAGTCGGTTTGATCTGCTTGACACGCTCCGCCAGGATGTGTGAGAGAAGACCGCTGTCAATTGCCACCCCTTGCTCTTGACCTGTCTTGACACTCTCACCTCTGTGTCTCCGTCCCAGAAGTAGTGCCACTTTGATCCCACCAGCTGCATGATGAGTGTCGTCATTTTGCAGATCATTGAAATACGTTTTTCCACTCACATGAACGTCCTCACCCTTCAGCTGCAACCAATCCTGTTCTCGAAGATAACAATCGTACGCCACAAGAAATGCTATCCCCTCGTCTATGTGGCCTGATTTGATCGCCTGGGAAGCTATGAAATAGATTGCTTCGGCAGAGGCTGGGCCACCTTCCCAGGACTCCTGGAGTTTCTCCCAGCTATGCAAAGCACGCAAGGAGATCGGCAACTCAGACTTCCACTCTGGAAACATGTGGACCAGCCCATGGTACAAGCGAACTCCTCTTGACACCGAAGCCCTCTCCACGAAGCACATGTGGTCTAACTCCGCCGCAAGGGTGATGTCCCGCTCGGCCGCCGTGGAAAAGGGAAGCCTCTTGAGACGCACCTTCACAAGGAAGGGCTCCACCTCCTTGATGTAGCACACGTTAGTGTTGTCCTGAACTGCGTGCACGAGAAGGCGCAGAGGTACTTCCAGCGTGCCAGAGCCCAGGCTGGTTCTCGACACTGGGGGCTCCCGAGCGGCGTTCTCGAAGGCGAGGGGGCCTTTCTTGTTCTGAGGAACGTGAGCTCGTTGCTTGCCTTTCTTTTTGGCCGTCTTTTTGACTGTCACTGCTGCTTCTAGAGCTCCGGCGAACAGTCCCACGTCCTCAGCGGCCTGCCCATCTTCACTGTCGAAGGTGTGGTCGCCGTCAGCCTGGAAGCTCTCGTCCTGGTCGGTCGGCGCCGTGTCTGCAGTTGCCGTGGCTGTGATCTCTGGAGCCGAGGCTAGAATCAGGACCGTCGTCATAAATGCCAGGCCAGGTCGTAGTCGTCGTGCATGCCCCTGATCTCCAGCATGTCCCCGAAGAGCCTCTCGAACTCGAAGTCGCTGTCCATCACGCTCTTCTTCTGCTCGGACTTGGTCTTGGTGATCTCGGCGCTGCCTATCTCCTCGCCTCTCGAAGGGCCGTCGGCCGGGTTCATGTCTGTGGGTATCCACCTCAGCGTCAATCGTATACCGGTGGCCAGCGTGATAGCACCGATCTTCTTCAGCTGCGTCATCAAAGGTCGCGAAGAGCTCCGCATCTTTCTGACTGCACCCACCGTCACCATTGAGTCGCACAGGACCAAGACTCGGCTGAACCAGTTCTTTGACGAGCGACACAGGTGACGAGATACCGACGCGACCGTCCTCATTTCCTGCACATTGATATGATCGTGATACGCCCATACCCCTTTCCACGCCAGATGCCATCGGGATACTTTTGCCCAGTGACTCATGACTGCGACTGGCTTCGGCGATGCGCCTCGGAGTTCTCGCATGCGCCAGTCGTGCAGCTTCAGCTCGTTGTTGGACACGGCCTTGGCCACACAAGAGGCATAGGCCTGGCACAGGCGTGGCGGGTAGACTGCTGCCAGGCGCGCCCAGAGACGCCCTTGAGAGTCGCGCCCCCGCAGCTCCTGATGATCGTGGTCGTGAGAGCACTTGCATTCGAGCTCCTCCAGCGCCTGCACGTTGGTCACTATTCGAGTTGGCTTCTTCCATCGGGCTCCGAAGGCACAGTACACTATCTCCACTACGCGAACTCCATCCATCGTCAGCAACTTCGCCATGTCGGGGAGGTCCCAGATCATCGAGGTCCTGGGGTTCTCCAGCGAAAAACCTGTCCCCGATGCCAGGCACGCGTAGCAAATTGAGATCGCCGCCTGGGCCAGAGCGTTGCCTTCCCGTACTCTCTGCACCTGCTGAGGGGAAAGACCTGGGAGACCACGAATCCAACGGCCTGGAGCTCGCAAAGGGGGTCGACGTGCCCGCGAGAACGTGGAGCATGGAGGGGCCAAGTGGACCATGAAGAAGAGGGGGCGAAGAACGGCGCGACAGACGAGCTCGACAAAGGACGCGTCCAGCAGGTCGTGGCGCACCTCCCGTGCGTTGTCCACGAACAGGGTCTGGCACTGCAGTTCCTCGCGGATCGCCTGCCCGAAGCCGCCGTACCCTGAGAAAATGTCGGCCATGAACTTCATCGGAGGGACCTCGCCATCGGACACCACGGGGGGGATGCCTCGTCTGGCTCGCTCGAGGTTCTCGCCACTGAGCAGCTCCTCCTCCTCCTCGTCCCTGGCCATGTCTCGAAGATGGTCGGCTCTCCACTGTCGGTTGACTTCGGCTCGGACCTCCTCCCGGCTCGCTTCCGTCTCGACTACCCCCAGGCCTTCTTCGCTCGCATCCGTAGCAAAGACACTGGAGCTCCACTTCGACTCCAAGTGGGTATACATCAGGGGGGCCAGGTGGTAGAGCATGTACAGCTCGTTTGTCACGCTCTCCCACAGGATGTGAACCTGATCGTCGTCGCCGTACTTCGTCACGAACTTGTAGCAAGCATCCAGCATGCAGAAGGCGGCCCGACAGCACATCGCCAGCCACACCCACGACCCAATTATCCTTGATAGCTCGGTTGGCGTCGCTCGGCCTCGGTCCAAAAGGGCCTTGGTCGCACCAATGACATTCTTGACCTTCTCCTGAGCTGCCATCAAGCGATGAGGGCGCTGAGTGATCGTCACGCCCAGAGAGAGGGGCATCGCTGCCCCGACTCCGTCTTTGTGCATGTCGAGGCCCACCTCCTTGAGCTTCTTCCCAGCGTGTTCGCGGACTGCCTCCGCCACCCCGCTCATCTCGTCCTGCTGCAAGGTCATCGAGGCGAAGTCGTCCATGAACACCCAGTAGATGAAGGCCGTCTCGGAGAAGCTGGGGGGGACGCGCCCGTGGACCAGCTGAGCTCCTCGAGGGAAGCCAGGTAGATCGCACAGAAGGTCCTCCAGAGCACCATGACAGATCGCTGGAGACCAGCTGAAGCCCATCAGCATCACCACCAGGCATAGGTAGCGGGCCCCCTTCGGGACCGACGGCACCACTTTGCCCTGGCGCTTGAGCTCCTTCAAAAGCTGGGGGATCGTCACGCCTCCGAACACCATGTACGGCCACAGCTCGCTGCAGCTCTTGCATCTGTGAAAGTAGTCTGGCACGTCTCCCCACGTTGACTGCAAGACCCTGCCCTCTGTGATCTCGTCGGACAGGTCCAGCTCCGCCATCGCCATCGGAGACCCAAGAGAAAGGTGAGGTGGCTTCTGAAAGCGCTTGTTCACCTGCCTCAGGTCCCAGACGGGCCGGAGAATGAACTGGCCTGCCTCGTTGACTTTCTTCATGACGAAGAACACCGAGACCTCCGCCCTGCAGATGTCCGTGAAACCGAGCATGCCTGACTCCCATAGTCTCAGCGCAAACTGGAGGCGAGCTGACCTGCTCCTCAAACTGGGGTCCATGTAGGCTCTCGTCCTCTCGATGTCGGCCTCGTCGACCTGGCTGGGCGGGAGGCACATCCTCTCGTGGAATCGGTCGAAGTAATATCTCGCTTTTGGTGAAATCATCCTTATGTCGCATGGCTGCGCCCCCGCTGGAGGCAGAGACGCTTCGCCGCTCACGAAGGGCATGACCTTCCCTCGTTGCGGCACGTCGTCGTCGTCCTTGTCTGATACACTGAAGCCCGCGTAGGTCCCAGGCTTGGCATGCAAGGCCAGCCGCTCGAAAGCGGACTCGGCGTCGGAGTCGTACATCTTCTGATCGTGCGCGTCCCGGTGGCACTGCAGCACCCTCTCGGAGATCCTGCGCGGCAGCTCGTGGCTCGTGTCCCACTCCTTGGAGGATCCGAAACTGGAGTCCCGCAGGTCGTGGTATGAGTTCGTCGTCAGCGCGGCTAAGGACCTCAGAGCGGCGTTCGTCCTGACCCTGATCGCTCGCTCCTGGGCGAAGCGAGACCTCGACCGCCCCGAGGGAGACGACAAGGGGGACGGCGCTGGCAGGAGCGGCAGCACCTCCAAGGGGTCGCGCACTCGACCCTCTGATGAGAATTCGACCTCCGCTCTCATCGCGATGAGAAATTAGGAAAATAACGCTGTGCAAGTTGTGGTAGATGTGGGCAGCCTCCAGGACGATGGCTGCCAGGAGAATGCGCTTCGCGAAGCGCCTGAATCGTGAGCACCTCCCAGCTGTCAGTCGTCCTTGCTCGTTGAGTGCTTCTTGTCCTGCAGCTTGTCGAGGGACTTGGCGAGAAGGGCGCGGTGGGCCAAGCGTTCGCGAAGCTCCTTTTCCACGCCGTCGATGAGAAGGCCATCCTGATCCGACTTGGTAGTGTCGAGCTCCTCCAGCAGGGCGTAGTTGACTCGAGACTTCCAGCCCGCCTTGGAGCCGTTGGGCGGCTTCCAGTCCGACCTCTGCTTGACGTTCTCGAAGGCCCTCTCGATGCCGTGGAGGCGTCGCATCGCCAACTCCGTCGTCTTGTAGTTGATCCAGTCGGCCGGCGCCTCCACCATGGATCGGTCGAGCATCATGCTGATGAGGAGGGCCTCTTCCGCCATGTGGTTGCCGTCCAGCTGCTTCGTGCGAATCATCTCCCTGATGCTCGCCACCGCTGAAGCTCCACTGCGGTACAGGCGGGCCACCATTGACGGGGCCACGCGCGTCTTGATGCCCCCTGGGATCGTCCACGCCACGTCGCTGGAGTAGGCCTGCAGCTTCTCCTTGGCGACCTCGCGCATGTCCTTGAAGGAGTCGTCCAGGCCCTTGACAGCGAGTCGATCTCTGGGTTGGACGTGGAGCTGACCACACGCTGCTCGGACCCGCCGGCAGTCACGGCCAAGCTGTCCTGCTCCACCATCTCCTTGTGGCGGTCCAGCCTCTGAAGGAGGGCCCCCATCATCTGGTCGTAGCTGTCCGCGCCGATCCCAGGCTTCGCTGGGGCTTGAGGTGCTGATGGCGCTGGAGTTGGCTGAGGAGGCTCCGTCGGGCGCGACGCCTGCCTCTCCTCGAGAGCGGAGAGCCTCTCGGCCACCAAACCCAGCTGCCTCAGAACTTCGCCTCCCACCGAGTCCGACTCCTCGGCGTCTGACACCTGAGTGCCTTCGTCCCTGGGAGTCGATGATCCTGACTGGCTGGGAGACGGTGTGGCCGACCACGAGGGCCAGCTCCAACCAGGAAGCGCGGGCGCTGAGGCACCGGAGGAAGTTGTGGGCGATGGCGCAGGCGAGGGGCGAGATGACCTGCAGCACGACATGATGAAGCCACTCACGAGCATCACGCCCACTGAGAAGTAGAGAGGCTCGAGAGCTCCTGACTCGTGCATCTCGAACACCGTCTCGATCTCCTCCCTGAAATACTCCACCGTGTCCACTGTCTCCTTCAGCGACGCGTAGCTCCATTTCACCCACTCCACCACGTTGAGGTACACGACTGCGCGCCACAGCACGAACGTCGACCCCGCCGCCGTACCTAAGCTCCGACGGGCCCAAGCGTAGCCCGCGATGTTGGAGCCCAGCCTCAGTAGCCACGACACCGCGTGGCGGCGGTGGGACCTGCGTCCTGCGGCGCCTCCACCTCGAGGATGGTGGTCCCTGGTGATCTTTCCTGTCGTCGATGCGGACCCGGTAGCGATGATGCGGTCGGCCGCCTCGATGGCCTTCTGCTTCTCCGTCGCCGAGAGGCCCTGGAAGGTGCCGTGGTTCACGCCCGCGAACTTCGTGGACTTCACCTTCGCGGGCTGCCCGAGGTCGATGACCTGGAGCCTGCCCGTCGGGTCGATGCAGACCCATCTCTTCTCGCCCAGCGTGGAGCTGAACTTGCTGACCAGGAGCATCGTGAGACCCTGGTTGGAGTCCGCCCTCGGGCGGTAGTAGATCCTGTTCCACCGCTGGAAGGGCATAGGCTGCCCCTCGGGCTCGTCTTCACAAGGGTCGACGTCCTCGGCGTCGAGGCTGGGCTCGTCGAAGGGCGACTCCGGCTCGGGCTCGCCGTCTCCCAGCAGCAGCGGGGAGCCTGACAGCGCGCCGCCGAACCCGCCCGAGGCGTAATCCAGCAGATCCTCGAAAGCGTCCTCCTGCACCAGGGCGGTGCCGAGCACGCACGCGGCGAGCCAGGAAAGGCGCGTCGTGGCTGCAATCCCGCGCGCGCTCAAAGGGAGGCGCGAGAGGGCTGCTGCTCGTTGAAACTAGAGCCAATACGTTATGGACATCTATTCTGCACCTGCTATGCATGCTGCCCCACCCCCTCCAGTCTCTCAGGCCCGAGGGGGGGGAGGTTCAAGCGCACAGGGCCCCTAGGCCCTGAGCGATACACACGGCCTGCACCTAGAGCTCTCTAAGAAAGCCCGTTAACAAACATGTACATATTAAGGGTATTCTTCTTAGCATTAGTAATGCAAGTAATTGTTCTCCTCCCCTTCTCCTCCTCCTCCTCCTCCTCCTCCCCCTCCTCCTCCCCTTCCCTCTCATCCTCCTCCTCCCTCCCTCCCTCCCCCCGCCATCTCAGTCCGAGCGGGCTGGGTTGGGCTGGGTTGGGCTGGGGTGCAGCCCCTCTCCTCCTCTCCCCCTCCCTCCCAATCCTTGCAACAGGTGGCCGTGGTGGCGCGAAGCTAACCGCGCGCGCTGTCCGTTGCTCGCGGGGGGCGCCAGTTGGGAGACCTATCTGCGGGACCGGGCTGGGTGTTGGTGTGCGGGGGGGGGGGGGATCGAGCTGAGGTGGCCGCTCACCTCCTGCCAGTCTCCCTCTCTCCCTCCTATCCCCTGGGAGGGCAGGCTGAGACTACGCTCGAGGGTCTCGGGGGCCCCTCCTTGTCGCCCTGGCTGGCCGTTTTCCCCGTTTCTGGTGCGCTCGGGCCCGGGGTGGGGGTCCTGGGGCCACTCTCGGGCTGCTGTTGTCTCAACTTTCCCTGATCGGACAGGGCTGGGCTCGGGCGTGGGATGGGCTAGGCGGCAGGTCCCAATCCTCACTTTTTTACCCGTCCCCCAAGTCTCCCTCGGAGGGGAGCCCCCCCCCCCTTCTCTCTCAGCCGACACCCCCAGTTTGCGACTGGGCTGATGTTGGCTTGGCCCCTACTAGGTGTGATGACTTGGTATCGGTTTGGGTAGCCCCGCTGCTTCCGAAGCACTGGGCTCAAGCTTTGAGGTTAGTGCCGCAGACCGCATCGGACCCCCCTGACAAAGCTAGGCATAGCATACCCCGCAACCCCCAAGCAGGCCCAGTTGGAGGCCACGCCGGCGGACGCGGCTGCCTGCTGGATCAATCACAGCGGCCCGCTGAGGTCCACGTCTACGACCTCCTCGTCAAAGCTGAAGGGGCCCTGGGACACACAAATAAATGCACACAAATAAACATAGTCCCCATATTTTGCCATATTTTCTAGGTTTTTGTCTTCCCGCCCAATTCCCATATTTTCCCATATTTTCTGGGAATCGACGAATAATTGTGTCTGTGTGTTTTTTCCCTGCTGAAGAGCGGAGTGGGCGAAACTGGATGAGAAGACTCGGCAGCTCTGGGCGCGGGCGGCGGCCGCGGGAGGCCCTCCCCGAGTGCGAGCCCCACTCCCGTGGGCGGCGGGCCCCCAGGGCACCGCGGGGAAGGTGCAGCACCCGGAGTGGGGGGGGCCCCTCCGAGAAGGGGCCCCGTTGGGGGCGGTGCCGCCGCAGAAGCCGGAGGGGAGCGCACTCGCCATCGCTCGGACGTCCATGTTTTGTGTCTGTTTCGGTTTCGCGCGCGTTTGCTGCTGCTCTTTGGTCGAGGATGGTCCTCGATGGTTCTCGCCGAGAAAAAAGTGCACCTAGGGCTCCCAACTTCGCGCTTCGCGCTCCCCGAAGCGCGAAGCGCGAATAACTTCGCGCTCTCGCGCCGCCCTCCCAAAGGGAGAATAGGAGGACGAGGAGGAGGGGGAGAAGGAACGAGGACCGCGAAGCGCGAAGCGCGAATGACTTCGCGCCCTCGAGGGAGCCCTAGGTGCACACGTCCAAGCGATGCCAGGGCACAGAGGGAGCGGAGAGCCCGCGCGGCGGCGCTCCGCCAGCGGCAGGCGACAGGCTCGGCGGAAGGGCGGGCCGCGCCTTGGTGGAGGGATGCGCGCGCAGCCCAGTCTCGGGTCGGGCGGAAGGGGGGGATAGCAAAGGGGGGGTTTGAGAATCAGCTCACGTAGCTGATTTTCCCGGCGCCTCCCGGCGCCGGAGGCGGCCATGTATCGAGGAATGGGCCCCTCGGTGAGGCCGAAACCAGCTGCATGCAGCAAATTCCGTAACCCCCCCTTTCCCAATCCCCCCCTTTCGCCCGGCCCGACAGTCGGGGCAGAGCAACCAGGTGCAGCAGGCCCTCGGCCATCGCTCGGACGTCCATTCACTGTGTTTTTGTTCGGTTTCGTGCGTGGCTTTTTCGCCAAATGATCAGGGATGCTCCTCGAGGGTCCTCGCCGGAGAAAACATGCACACGTCCGAGCGATGCCAAGGCCCTCTGGAGCAGCAGCAGAGGGAGCCTTGCAGCCCCCGCCGCCGACGCAGCCTCGGGGTGCAGGGGGCAGGGCAGAGGTCTGCTGGCCCGCCAGCGCCATCCCCGGAGCTGCCGGTGCAGTGGCAGGAGCACCCCGCGGCGCTCCCCGCCGAGTGGGGGCAGCTGGGGAGGGGAAGGTTTCTGTCGGGCGTGTCCCCCTACAGGGGGATTTTCGACGAAAAATAAAAAGATAGCGCAAAAATGCACCAAAAAGGTGTGTGTGTGTATATACATATATATATATAATAAAAAATAAAATAATACTAAAAATAATAATAATAATAATAATGGTAATAATAATAATAATAAAACAAAACCAAAAAAAAAAAAAAAAAAAAAAAAAAAAAAAAAAAAAAAAAAAAAAAAACGGCAAAGCAACCTAACAGCGATGTGTAGGAAGCATATCTGGAAGCATTCCCCTTAAGATTCAGATGAGAATCCAGTTGTAGAATTCTGCTGTTCTCGCAGTCGTAGTCGCATTCGCGATGACAGTCGCAGCGGCAACGGCAGTCGCAGTCACAGCCTCAGCCTCAGCCTGCCTCAGCCTCAGCCTCAGCCTGCCTCAGCCTCAGCCTGCCTCAGCCTCAGCCTCAGCCTGCTTCAGCCTCAGCCTCAGTCTGCCTTCAGCCTCGGCCTCAGCCTCAGCCTGCCTCAGCCTCAGCCTGCATCAGCCTCAGCCTCAGCCTCAGCCTGCCTCAGCATCAGCCTGCCTCAGCCTCAGCCTCAGCCTGCCTCAGCCTCAGCCTCAGTCTGCTTCAGCCTCAGCCTCAGTCTGCCTTCAGCCTCGGCCTCAGCCTCAGCCTGCCTCAGCCTCAGCCTGCCTCGGCCGCAGCATCAGCCTGCCTCAGCATTCAAAATGTGGCCCAGGAATGGAGTTCTGGGAACTAGAAGAACACGAAGTGGCCTACAGTTGGCTCCGGGCATTCAAAATCATGCCCAGGAATGAAGTTCTGGGAACTCGAAGAGCACGAAGTGGCCTACAGTTGGCTCCGGGTATCCAAAATGTGGCCCGGGAATGGAGTTCTGGGAACTCGAAGAGCACGAAGTGGCCTACAGTTGGCTCCGGGTATCCAAAATGTGGCCCGGGAATGGAGTTCTGGGAACTCGAAGAGCACGCAGTTGGCTCCGGTTATTCAAAATGCGGCCCGGGAATGGAGTTCTGGGAGGTCGAAGAGCACGAAGTGTGTGACTGCTGGCTCCGGTTATTCAAAATGTGGCCCGGGAGTGGAGTTCTGGGAGGTCGAAGAGCACGAAGTGTGTGACTGTTTGCTTCAAACGAGCCCGGCTCTGTTCCCGGCCCTCCTCCCAGGCACCCGCCCAGACCCCCCTGTGGAGTCCAGATGCTCTCTTTTGACCCTACTAGAAACCTATCAGCAAAAGCTGTTAGGTTACAAAAAAAAACAACAACAACAACAACAACAACAACAACAACAACAACAACAACAACAACAACAACGACAACAACAACAACAAAAAAAAAAAAAAAAAAAAAAAAAAAAAACTAAAAACATAATTCCCATACTATTTTTTAATATATTTTTTGACTATTTTGTGAGCATTTTGCATTTTTCGTTGAAAATCCCCCTGTAGGGGGACAGGCCCGACATAAAGGCAGAGGGGAGGAGGAAAGGGGTCGTCGTCGTCGGACGATGCCATGCGTCGCGTCTGGTGCTCGGTGTCTCGGCCGGGCAGGAGGGCGCGCGACGAGTGGCGCACAGGACCACACAGGGAGCCACCACTCACGACGCCACGAGGCACACACCCCGGAATTCAAGAGGCAGAAGACGTGGAGGAGACGAACGGGGGAACGACCCAGGACTAGGCGCGCTGGGGGACCTGTGAGCGTGACTGCTGGCCGCACGGCTGCCAGAGCTCACTCTACGCGCAGCAACTTGAACAGGTGCAAGAGCTCGACCTTCCACTTCGCTATCCTCAGCGTTGCCCCGTTGCACGTCAGCGCAGATGTCCGCTCAGCGGGTGAACCTCGGGGGCCTTTGAGGAAGCCCACCACCTGGAGTATGAAGGCCCGACGGGCTCACCGCCTTCGGAAAGCAACCAACCAGTACTGGTGAGTCGAACTGCCCAGCGGGCGGAAGTGATGGCCGCGGTGAACTACAGCCACAACTCGGCGCAGGATCAGGTGTCGGAAGACAACTCCTGCAGTGGCGAGAGCGGCAGAGGCAGACCCCGTCCGGCAGGACAGCCCTGGGACGCCTCCGAAAGCACGGGTGGAGGCGTAGCGGGCGCTGGCCACCGAGGAGGCGGTGGAGGCGGCGAGGGCAACAGGCTGCCCAGCCGCCAGGATGCTACATCGTGGTCGACTGTGGTCGGGAGCGGCCAAGAGGGGGGCGTCCAAGAGGGAGGGTGCAAATCATGACCGGCGGCATGTGCGCGGCCCAGCGGGGGGGCCAGGGACGTAATGAAATAAGAAGAGGCGCCATGAGATCTGGGGAAATATCATGGCCCCCGCCATGATATCCACCCCCCCCTAGTCATCACCCCCCTCTTTTCCGCCCCCGATGTGGCTGGCAGGCGACGCGCCTGGGCTCAAGCCGGAACGGAGCGCCTGCTGAACAGGGGGCAACACGGCTGCGGCGACGGCTCGGGCCTGGGGGGGAGCGGAGGGGAAAGGGAAAAGGGAGGGAAAGGGGAGGGGAAGGGGAGAAGGAGGAGGAGGAGATGAGGGGGTGGAGAGCGGAGGGGGGGAGGAGGCAGGATGGGGAAGGAGCAACGCCAGAGCAGGGCAAATTGAGACAACGGCGGCTGGGCCGCCCGGCCCAGATCCGCTCAAATCGGCCCCTGGACCCCTCGCCGGGTCCATCCTGACCAGTTTTTCGAGGCGGTCCAGCCGTCACGGCGAAGAGCGCGGTCAAGCCCTCGAACACTCTTTGGGAACTTCTGCGAATGCGCGCGCTACGCTCCACAAATCGGCGTTCCATTTTTCTTTGGAACTCTCCCAAAATCTCTGGTTCCGATTTGTCCCGATCTTCCGCTCAACTGATATCCACCGGTCCTCCCGGGACAGCGAGGATGCCGCTTCCGTCGAGCTGGCCGGCCGCCACGGGGCGCGCGGTGCGCGCCGCATGCGCTTGATCTCGCGTTGCAGGGTGTCCGCCTTCTCCAGCGTCTCGCCCAGCTCCCGCTCCCGCTCCGCGCGGTCCGGCGCCGGGGACTTCGCGGGGCGGAGGAGCGCTCCTCCTCATCCTCTTCCTCCTCCTCCTCCTCCTCATCCTCCGCCTCCTCTTGTTCCTCTTCCTCTTATTATTCCGCCTCCCCAGACACCCACCATACGGCCCAAGAGAACCCCAAGCCAGCGTAAGAGGGCCACAAGACGGCCCAAGAGAACCCCAAGACTGCCTCACAGGAGGCACAGACAACCCAAATCGGCCCAAACGAATTTCAGCCTCAGATTCATCATCATGATCATCATCATCACCAGCACCACCATCATCATCATCACCACCATCATCAGCGTCAGCATCAGCATCATCATCACCACCACCATCATCAGCGTCAGCGTCAGCATCAGCATCAGCATCAACATCAGCAGCAGCATCATCATCATCATGATCAGCATCAACATCAGCAGCAGCATCATCATCATCGTCGTCATCAACATAATTATCCTTCTCATCACCACCGCAACCACAACCACCACCATCACCATCGCCATCATCAACATCATGATCATAACCAGCAGACAGCATCATCAGCACCATCACAGACATCAACATCATCATCATCGTCATCATCCACATCATCCTCATCATTCTTATCATTCTTATCACGGCTCTCCCAAGCCTGGAGACACGACGTGTCACAAGTGACGGCCTCCTGTGGCCCCCCCCCGAACAGTCGCCACCCAGAAAGCTGGGCTGGCACGGTGGCGGAACTTGTCGCAGGCAGCTGGAGAAAATCCCTCCAGGCTCAATCCGCCGGCCCCCTTGTGGGGCCACCAGGCTGCAGGGCGAAGGTTCGCAGTTTCCTGTGCCAGTTGCAGCTTCCAGTTTCCACTGTTACAGTTCTGCGTCTTGCTATTTATTTCCACAGTTTCAGTTCTGCTTCTTGCTGCTTACCGTTGCTTTTGATGGACCGCGCGAGGGGGGAAGGCCCAAAACGGGCATTTGTACTACGCCCTGAGCGTGTGCTGTGAATTGCTGGGGTGGGTAAAAATTGTCACCCCTCACGCAGATCGGCGGGGTCAGGGTCCAATAACACAAGGGATTTGCAACATTTCTGAAATTTGCTGGCACCACGCAGATCGGCGGGGTCAGGGTCCCAAAACACATGGGATTTGCCACATTTCTGAAATTTGCTGGCACCCCTCACGCAGATCGGCGGGGTCAGGGTCCCAAAACACATACAGGATTTGCCACATCTCTGAAATTCGCTGGCACCCCTCACGCAGATCGGCGGGGTCAGGGTCCCCAAACACATACAGGATTCGCCACATTTCTGAAATTCGCTGGCACCCCTCACGCAGATCGGCGGGGTCAGGGTCCAAAAACATATGGAATTTGCACCATGTCTGAAATTCGGTGGCACCCCACACGCCGATCGGCAGGGTCAGGGTCCAAAAACACATACAGGATTTGCCTCATGTTTAAAATTCGGCGGCACCCCTCACGCAGATCGGCAGGGTCAGGGTCCAAAAGCACATGGGATTTGCCACATTTCTGAAATCCGGCGGCATCCCTAACGCAGATCCGCAGGGTCAGGGTCCGAAAACACAAGGGAGTTGCCACATTTCTGAAATTCGGTGGCACCCGTGACGCAGATCCGTAGGGTCAGGGTCGAAAAACAAACAGGTCCCGACACTGCTTCACGGCGGCGCCCAGACCTCATGATTTAGCTTTTGCATCTCCCATTATCCGAGACAGGGAGCCGGCGGCATGGGGCGAAGCCCTTACGGATAAGAATTATCGTTTTGGACAGAATGCCGTCGCAACTCCACGGCCACGGCCCCACCGCGCCCAAACACTCTGCGAGATGAAAGAAACGCAGGGGACTGTCACAGCCCAGGGCTACGGTACCACCCAGCCCAATCACATTGCACGAGGAAAGACACGCAGGATGACTTCACGGCCCATGGCTGCGGTCCCACCCCAACAAATCCAACTAAACGAAGAGATTATACACAACTGCCCTAGGCACAATAAGTGTGAGCTGATTGGTCAGGGTGCCGTCGCAACTCCATGGCCGCGGTCCCATCGCGCCCCCGCGGCAGGACGGAGGTGCAGGGGACAGTCACGGCCGAGGTCTGCGGTGCCACCCTTGAGACGAAGGAGACGCAGGATGCCGTCACAGCCCATGGCTGAGGTCCCATCCCGACAAGCTCAACCAGAAAAAAATATATACAACTCCCCCGCTCGCTCGCTCGCTCGGCCGTTGCATCCGGTGGAAACTCCCCCAGGTACGGAAAATGTGAAATCATTCGACCTGATGCCGTCGCAACTCCATGGCCGCGGTCCCATCGCGCCTCTGCGAGAGGAGAGAGGCGCAGGGGGCTGTCAGCAGCCGATGTCCGCGGTGCCACCCAGCCCGAACACACTGCGAGAGGAAAGAGACGCAAGATGCCGTCACAGCCAATGGCTGCGGTCCCATCCAAAAAAAATCTGCTGAACGGGAAGAATATTTGGGACGCTCTTGGAACGTCGGGGAGAGTCTTGATATAATGGAGACCCTAGTGGTACTGCCTCGAAGGCCTCTGGAGGCATCTCGAAGGCGTGAGGAATCAGCTTGGAGCCCTCTGGCGCCGTCGCTGGACTTCTTCGTAGTTAGAAAACAACTGGGGGGCTAATTATGTTGGCATATGGAGGCGGTTTGGCAAGGCCTGTTGGGGTGTCCCGGAGCGCCTTGAAATCATCTTGGGACGTGTTGATGCGTCATGGGTATTCCGGGGATGGTCTGGGCGAACCCTTCGGGCCCCGAAAGCCTGTAGTCAAAAGGCATGTAGCCTCGTTCGCCTCCTCATTGCGGACATGATTCATGTCCATATCCAATGCATTTTGGACTTTTTTGGAAGAGGCGCCACAAGGCCGAGCCGAACTGGATATGGATAAAAATCGAGCCTCTAGGGGGCAAATTTATCCATATCCAGTGCGCCTCGGGTTTCTTGGGAAGGGAGCCCGAAACTCCATACTGCAGTGGATATAGACATAAGTTCTGCCCGCACTCATCCTCAATGCTGGCGTGCACTGTCAGCAGGGGTCGTGCGAAAATAATCCTGAGATGTGCGTACCGCAAGTCAGCTGGGACGAAGAAAGGTGAGCTCCTTACGGGGCCTTCGGTGGAGCTCCCTGTGGGGCCACGAACTGTGTGAAGGGTGTGCCAAAATGGCTGGCGGTCCCCGCATGCGGCCTGTGCCACTGGGGCCTTCGGTGGAGCTCCCGGTGGGGCCACGAACCGTGTTATGGGTGTGCCAAAATGGATGGCGGTCCCCGCATGCGGCCTGTGCCACTGGGGCCTTCGGTGGAGCTCCCTGTGGGGCCACGAACCGTGTGAGGGGCGTGCCAAATTGGGTGGCGGTCCCCGCATGCGGCCTGTGCCACTGGGGCCTTCGGTGGAGCTCCCTGTGGGGCCACGAACCGTGTGAGGGGTGTGCCAAAATGGATGGCGGCCCCCGCATGCCTGTGCCACTGGGGCCTTCGGTGGAGCTCCCCGTGGGGTCACGAACCATGTTATGGGTGTGCCAAAACGGGTGGCGGTCCCCGCATGCGGCCTGTGCCACTGGGGCCTTCAGAGGAGCTCCATGTGGGGCCACGAACTGTGAGGGCGGTCCCCGCATGCGGCCTGTGCCACTGGGGCCTTCGGTGGAGCTCCCTGTGGGGTCACGAACCGTGTTATGGGCGTGCCAAATTGGGTGGCGGTCCCCGCATGCGGCCTGTGCCACTGGGGCCTTCGGTGGAGCTCCCTGTGGCGCCACGAACCGTGTGAGGGGCGTGCCAAAATGGGTGGCAGCTCCCGCATGCGGCCTGTGCCACTGGGGCCTTCGGTGGAGCTTCCGCTGGGTCCACGAACCGTGTAAGGGGTGTGCCAAAATGGATGGCGGCCCCCGCATGCTGGCTGTGCCACTGGGGCCTTCGGAGGAACTCCCTGTGGGGCCACGAACCGTTTGAGGGATGTGCCAAAATGGGTGGCGGTCCCCGCATGCGGCCTGTGCCACTGAGTCTTCGGTGGAGCTCCCTGTGGGGCCACGAACCGTTGGAGGGAAGTGCCAAGAGCGCGTTTCTTTCTGTTCGGCGAAGAATGGCGTCATGGGGGGGGGGGGCGAGGGGGGGGTATGACGTAACGCCCCCCCCCGCCGTGTGGCTCTGGCACCGCAGACGCGCCCGCGCGCGCGACGCGACGAGCGACGAGCGACGAGTGACGACGACGACGACGACGACGACGACGACGACGACGACGACGACGACGACGACGACGACCACGACCACGACCACGACCACGACCACGACCACGACCACGACGACGACGATCACGACGACGACGACGACGACGTCGACGACGCGAGCAGCATGTAGGTGGCGATATGCCCCACTGCGCCTGTGTACACCACAACGCTCGCGTGCACCACAGCGCGCGCGTATACCACACCGCCTGCGTGCACCGCAACAACCGTGTGCAACGCAGCGCCTGTGTACACCACAATGCTTGCGTGCACTACAGCGCCGGCGTACAATTGCACACCGCAACTACCATGTGCAACACAGCGCCTGTGTACACCACAATGCTTGCGTGCACCGCAGCGCCTGTGCACGCCACAGCGCGTGTCTACACCAACGCATCCGCGTGCAACGCAGCGCTGGTGTACACCACAATGCCTGCGTGCATAGGATAGGTAGAAGGAGCATGTACGTGAGGATCTGCTGCGGACAACCAGACGCCACGCCAGGAAATTGCTGATAATCGAATGCGACGTTCTTCCCTCCTCCCTCCTCCTCCTCCTCCTCCACCTCCACCTCCCCCTCCTCCTCCTCCTCCTCCTCCTCCTCCTCCTCCTCCTCCTCCTCCTCCTCCGCCTTACCCCCTGTCGTGCGGGTTGGCGCTACAGCGCACGTGCGCATCTCAGCGCGCATCGCAGAATGTTCTATTGAATCGGTCCACTTGGTTCTCGGACGGCCAATTTAGCTGGAACCTCCTGGACGCAAAGGGAGGAGTTAGGGTGATGCG